TCACCACACGTATTCGAACCCGGAACCTTTTGAATGAGAGGCCAACACCTTAACCTCTAGGCCACGAGAGCCCCCAAGGACGAGTAAGAAAACCCTAAATGAAAAAAGTAAAGAAAGACAACCAAAAACCAAAAAACAAACAAACAAACAAACAAACAAAGCCAAAAAACCAACAAAAATTAATTCTTAAACGAAGCAAATAAAGTTCGATTCCAGGGGGAGGAGAAATTTGTATCGCGTATCCCGGTCCTTCTGCTGGGATGTTGTGTCTCTCTCAGCCTGTGTTGGCTCGAAAAGTCAAGGTCGAAGTCCGCCATCGAAGTAATCTAAAATTGTCAATTGTGTCGATTTTGGGAAGGGAGCTTGGGAGGTGGGATGGGGGAGGTATGAACACCTTTATTGAAAAAAAAGTTATAAAAAAACAAAACATGAATTTTCTTAGAAAATACTAAATAAAAACCAACCAAACCGTTTTGTTTTCCTCCCCAGTTCCGACACCGCGGAGAGCCGGGGGACCCAGAGGGCCGGCTGAGAGACAGGACGAGTACTAGGGACATGTTGGAGGCGCCCTTCCGGCACAAGGAGGAGGTCAGTGGGTGTATATGTTACGTGTATATATATATATATTTTGTTAATTTTTTAAAAAAATATAGTGTGTGTGTGGCCAGTGGATATATAAATAGTGTGTGTGGGGTGAGTGGAACCCTTCTCTGCTCCCGCCAAACCCCGCTCCCCGCCACAGCCCTTCCGGCACAAGGAGGAGGTCAGTGGCTGTATATGTTACGTGTATATATATATATATATTTTGTTAATTTTTTAAAAAAATATAGTGTGTGTGTGGCCAGTGGATATATAAATAGTGTGTGTGGGGTGAGTGGAACCCTTCTCTGCTCCCGCCAAACCCCGCTCCCCGCCACAGCCCTTCAGGCACAAGGAGGAGGTCAGTTTAGGTTCAGAAAGAGTTGTTTTTTTACGGCACTTGAGGCACAAATAGGACATATAACTGCCGAGGAGGAGCTCAGCTGTGTGGATCACACTGCGCATAGCCATAGACTTATAAAACAATATCCCAGATCATGCACTCTGACGTAAATTTGATTCACGGTGGAGCTTACCAATTGACTCAATTTGGAGACTAATGAAGGGGAAAAGTGCGGGGGGGGGGTAGTGCTGCGAGCGGCGGCTATTGCAGTGCACTCTCCAGAATATTATAATTCCAGTCTATGGGTATGTCTGACTTTCTGCTCAAAGAGGATGTCAGTGGTTGTGGTTACATGACAGGCTATGGCTCGGTTTCTTCACCGTGAGGTCATTGGGGGTGGCTGACCTTTTCCACCAACATGGAAGTGAGGGGTTGGGATTACACTGGGTGTTCCCAGAGATCATGTATAACAAGATAATTCACTTCTCTCTTTTAGCCAATTAAAAAAAATGTCCTTAAAATTCTGAAGCGCCCTGTTCGAAAAAGCGTGGACTTTGCTATCAGAGTTGGCCTACTTGTGTCAAAAAGAACAAAAGTGAAACCTACAAACTGTGCTGTTCCTATTCTTCTTCTGGAGAAACGAAATAGCTCTTCAAAACAAAGACTGCTGCGCCAGCTGAAGCAAAGCGCGGACTTCCGCAAACACTTTTTTGGCTGAGTGAACTATCTTGTTATGTACGATCTTTGGTATACCTGACCTTTTCCAAAAAAAGGAAGAGGGTGGTTGGGATTACATTGGGTGTTGCCTACCTTTTCCACAAAAAGGAAGTTAGTTGTTGGGGTTACACTGGGTAGAGCTGACACTCTCCCTACAGAGGTTAGTGGCTGTAATCGCTATAACTCAGAATTACAAAGTTCTATTATTATGTCTCTAGCACATCGAAATGTCTCCACAGTTTCTGATCCACTATATATTTGTCCTCAGGTGATCTACAAGAATTCTGATACAATATCATTATTATATTTGTCCTCAGGTGATCTACAAGACCAACAACCCGTTCACACAACACGACAACAGGCACTACTTCCAGGAACACGGAGTCTATCTGGGGAATGTGAGTGGATGGATAGATAGATAGATAGATAGATAGATAGATAGATAGATAGATAGATAGATAGATATGCACAAATGAAAGAGCAGACGCACAGACCGACGAATACACAGATATATTGACTCACAGACGTACGCCCAATGTTAACAAAAGTGTAACTCTTTATAGACCAGCGTCTGTGGTGTAGTGGTGAGGTACTTCGCCATTGCACACAGAAGACGTGATTCCGATTCCCGGGTGGTTTTGTGGTTGTTGTTGTTGTTGTTGTTGTTGTTGTTTTTTATTTGTTTGTTTGTTTTGTTTTGTTTGCTTTTCTCTTTTTAATTGAATATGTCCGGCTGTCTGCAATAATGCTGTTTCCCCCTCTGCCCGTTCTGGCCCTGACAAGCAGGGTAGAAGCAGCCGGCCTCCTAATCAAATCATGTAAATTGTGTCGATGGATGACGTAAAACAAATCTACAATTACATTACAATAAGCCTCCACCTCCACCCCCACAGGGCCGTGACTCCAGACCTCTTGTTTATGATGATGTTGTTGTTGTTGGTGGTGGTGGTGTTGTTGCTATTGCTTTTGTAGTTGTTATTGCTTTTGTAGTTGTTATTGTTATTGTTACTGTTATCGCTGATTTTGTTGTTATTGTTTTTGTTGTTACTTTTGCCGATGTCCTTGATGTTGGTTATAATTACAACAACTCTTCACCCCTCCCTTCCCCACCTCCTCCTTCCCTCCTTCCCCCTCTCCCTTCCCCCTCCCCCCTCCCCCTCCCCAGGGCCGTGACACCAGATCTCTAGGCCGGCGCCTCCACCCCGTCGACCACCGTCTCCACCACACCGACCACTCTTACCTGCACCACCGGGGTCGTAACCCCACGACCTGCGACTACAACCCTGTGACGGCTACGTCTTACCAGAACCCGGGCCCCGCCGAGCCTATCACGAGGCGCAGGTTTCCCCGGGTCTATCGGAACGCTGAGGTGAGGGGTGGGGGTAGATAGATAGATAGATAGATAGATAGCTAGATAGATAGATAGATAGATAGATAGATAGATAGATAGATAGATAGATAGATAGATAGCCTACGTCTCCTGTTGTTCCTTTACTTATAAAACCGTCTCTTTTCTGGAAAATGTTCATATGAACCTCTCATTTTTAAAGCTCTTTTGATACATGACATCACGGTGACCCAGAAATGTCTCTATGTAGAATGGAAACCCCGGATGTGAAATCGAGGTCAAGTAAGTTATGAATGAAAGGCCCACGTTTACGTTTACTAGATTACAATTTTCAACTTAAATAACTCTTTTTTCTTTTTTTTGGGGGGGGGGTCTTTTTTTTTTTGGAAAGTGTTTTACGGCGATGCATAAGGTCATATGAGCGCGCGGGACACATTAAACTTTTTCAGTAGGTAGGAAATTTTGAATTTTGCCCGGGTGGCGGCCGAAGCCTACTCTTATCGATTTTTGACAACCAAGGGATCTTTAACTTGCGCAACTTGCACACGGTCCCCCCGAGATTTAAATAACTCTGTTTTGAGTGCACATTCCTTCGTTCCTCTACTTGGCGCACTGTTAACTCAGTCGGTATCACGATAAACTACGGAATGAATGTCACTGGCTTGAATCCCCAATAGTGTGTTCTTAGTTTTATAGCTTGTTCACTTTCGTCTGACCACGTTAAAAATTCTAGCTCATTGAAGAATGTACCTATGCTCACGAAACTTTGCCTGGCACTTCTGCAATAATTTAAAAAATCTTGACCCAGTAATACAAAAGTTTTTCTCTTTGGGCCCTATATTAAAAACCGCTGTTTGGATACATACACAGGATCACTAAAATAAATGACTTTTAAAAAATGACTTACTGTAGCCTTGCTTCCAAATTGCTCATTTTGAGACAGCGACACAACCCTGCCCCCACATTTCAGTGTAAGCTTGTAGATTTGATTCCCCGACTGTCTTGACGTCTCCACGTGAGTCTCGAAAATTACTCACCCCGTCTCTTGAATCGTGTTTCTTTGACGTACGTTAAAGTGTAGTGTTGAGTAAAATGTGTCAACTTTTAAATGTTTTAGATGTATGCTGTAAAACAGGGCATCAAGCTTACTCTGCTCACTTCTCTTGCCTCAAACACAAAGCCTGCTTCGACTATCAAGGCACCCCGGAAATAGCAGTTCACAAGAAAGTGACAAACATACAAAAGAAGAAGAGGAAAAATGACGATAGTAAGGACGAGGAAAGAAAAAGCAGCAGTTCCCCTTATGTTGTTCCGGCACAGTATGAACATGACATTGATAAATCAGCCTATTTACAATTCTAGTGTGCATAAGAAGAACATGTTAATATCCCCCCTTTGGGAATGGCCTAAAGACTGCTTCAGACTGAGGGGACGGCGGGGGCGAGGGGATATAGTGTGTTCTGAGAGTGGGTTATTTGGGGAAGTTTGTAAGGTTATCCCCCACTTGTGACATGATCCTGTAGGGGGGGGGGGGTCGTGATGTGTTTTAAAGTCAGAGGTCACGCCTCCTAAACAACAGTACAGTGTTGAAACGGTTTCGTTTTTAGCTTTAGTTAGAGTTTTACGGCACTTGCAACTCACTAAGGTCATATAAGTGCCGAAGATTAGAGGTGTTACAAGAGAGTAACAAACATAAAAAAGAAGGAGGAGAGATAAGGACGACAGATATTTGATAGGAAAGAAGAAGCAAACCCCACCAGAGCACCCACCAACCACCTGCAGTTGAAAAGGGTGGATAACTTATACAATGACCGTTATTCCTTTGCTTAAAAACACGTTTTGCTCCTTCCCTCCCTCCCTCCCCCCTCCCTCCCTCCCCCCCCCCTTCCAGTCTGCCATGGACACGACGACGACAGATTGGAGCAATGCCACCTACCACACGCCCCTGCACGTGCTGGCAGCCTCCCAGGAGCCCTTCCTGGCCCACAACAGATGGAAGTACTCCTACAAGGGTCCGCACAAGGTCTATCCGCCTTACGACAGGAAGAAGTACCCGCATGTGGAGAATGTGCTCAACAGGTGACAATGACAATGACAATGATAATTAGTTTTTCTCTCAGTTGCTCCTGAGGAAGTCAACGGGGCGAAACGTTGAGCTATTAAACAAATTTAAACATTTTATATTGTTATGTTATTTTTGTCTAAAATTAAAACAAGACTCTCCCTCCTACCCTGCTTACCAAACAATGATAATGACAATGACAATGACAATGACAATGATAATGACAATGACAGTGACAATGATAATGACAATGACAATGACAATGACAATGATTATGACAATGACAATGACAATGACAATGATTATGACAATGATTCTGACAATGATAATTCAATGACAAAGAAAATGAAAATGACAATGATAATGACAATTATAATGATAATCACAATAGCAATGATAATGACAATGATAATGATAATCACAATAACAATGATAATGACAATGACAATGACAGTGACAATGACAATAACAATAATGACAATGACGATGACAATAACAATGACAGTGACAATGACAGTGACAATCTTTATTCATCTCGGAGGGATAAATAATTGTTCGCTTTTAAGCACAAGGAGGCTATCTCCCGAAAAATGCTGTTTTGAGAAAATCGAAAGTAAAGTTTTTTGGACCCTTGTTCAGTTTCTTTAAAAGACAAGAAGAGTTTTCTCTATAACCAAACAGATATACACACCAATGAAACCAAACATCTCCTATAGGTAGGACAATGCCAACTTTTGGTTTAGGTCAAGATTTCTGGAAACTCCAGAAATCTGGGTTAGCCCGCTTGTTCTTAAAAGCGACCAATTTGTCTTGGTCGTTTACAATGGCAGTAGATGTTACAAAGCTCAGGTGCACTCACGCATACGCACAACAAGACAGGACATTAGTGAATACAGTAAATACGACCTTGTCGCCGCAGGAGCAGCGCAAAAAAAGCGTTTGTAAATTATTAAGTGTTGAAACTTTTACCCCCCCCCCTCACCTTCGACGGAGTTTAGATAAAAATAGACAACTCCCCC